TTTCATCCTGTAAATATACAAACAGAGAAAGAATATTTAAAACTGTTTTAATGTGAACATATACTATCAACTACTCGGTATGAATTATTGCTTGTATGAATTAAAAAATTTTGAGAACCATATATCGAAAGTTGTGCAGTAAGTTTTAAAAGAAGAAATATAAAAGTTTTTAAAAAATTTTGTAAAGAAATATCAAAAGTAATATAAATATTGTATTTGGCGTCATTTTTGATTTTAAGAAGTAATTGATCAGAATTATTGAATATAGTATTAAAATGAAGTGACATACAAATAGGTATAGTTTTTAAAATAGAGTTTGGAAGTATTTTGATTGTAGTTTTGTTAATTTTAATCCGTTTGTAATGTATTATATATCAAAATGAAGCTGTTGATAGGCTAAATTTTTTTGTATTAAGGAGCATTGGATATTGACTTAATAGAATTTTAAGTTTTGGCTGATTGAAGTAAAATTTAGAAAATTAGTTATAATTTTGTAAAGAAGAGCTTTAAAAGTTTAGAACAAGGCCGCCTATAAGTAAAATTTACTACAGAACAGTTTTATTTAGGCAGCCAATATAGGTTTACTTAGTAGAATTTAGAGAATAGAGTGATTATTTTTAGAGAAAATTTGGTACAAGTGATCATTGGGAAGAGTTAGTAATTTGCGTCCTTCTCCTAAGTAAAGTTGTAGAGCATTAGACAGAATATATAATTATATATTTTTTATAAAAATATTTTAAATAGTTAAAGCTAAAATAAATATTTTAGATCTTGGACATTTTCAAAAAAGTGGCAGAATAGTTAAAATATACATCACTTGTACTAGGTATATCAAATATAATACTATCTTCTCTGCACCAAATATCTTTAAGATTAAGTTTCTCATATCCAAAGTACAAAAATTTTTTCATAATATGCATTTTTTCAGAATGCTGATTTGAAATGGCTAGAAGATGACGTTCATAAAAATATTTTAAATTAGTGGTAACAAAATGAAAATTTGTACTATATTATAGGCTTGTATACATCTAAAAACAATATCTTTCAATAATCCAAAACTTTTTTTTATATAATTATTAGTATGATTCCCACATGTTAGTAAACCAATATAAAAAAAAAGTGCCTAATTATGTTTTCTATTCTAATAACAGATAATATATGTAGTGAGATTCGGATATTTTGCAAAATATTGTTGTTGTAAAACTTCAAATGAATTCACTAATTCAGTTTCTGTTAATGTATATACTAGAGATTTCATATATTATATTATTAACAACCAATCATCCTTGTGAATATGATGGCTAGCATTCCACAACCACCTCCAGAATGATTGAAGTATGTAAAAAACACAGAAAAATTTTTGCTTGATTTAACAACATCGAAGCGTATTTCATTTAGCATAAGAGTCATCAGTAATTATAATACTTGGTCTAACTTATTATAAAATGCATTCTTAGGTAATATTGTTTTTAAAAAATTGAATACGAATTTAAGTATATTTTCTGATTCATTGGATGTTAAATAATTCTTAAAGACAATGCCCCTATAGTGCAACTTGTATATAACAGAGTTATTGAAATATTTAATAAATCAAAAGATGATAATGCGTCTATATAATATATTTCTCTTGCTTGTCTAATAGTTTCATGAATTCTTTGTATCAAACTACTAACTATATATAAAACAAATGCTTGACCTGTTCTTTTATCAAATGAACAAAAACGGCTTTACTATATCCTAATTTATTGTAATTTTTAATTTTATTTTCAAGATATTCAAACATACTATTTCCATTTCATACCCCAAGTTGAATTAAGTGAAACTTTTATAAAGACCTATAATATATCCACTATCAGGATTTAATACACGATCAGCTAAAATAGTTGCTAAATGTTTCTTAATAAATGCAACTTTTTTTCATATTCATAACGAGTAGTTGATAGTATATGTTCACATTAAAACAGTTTTAAATATTCTTTCTCTGTTTGTATATTTACAGGATGAAAACTTAATAATATAGCAGATTTAGGAATATGATTATAAGTAAAGTGAAGAGATACTTCAAGAGAATGTGAACTTTTTAAATAATAGTTTTTAATACGAAATTCAATTGTTGCTAAACAGCCAGTATTTCTTAAACGTTCACTGTGTAGCTTCTTAATTTGAATACTCTTTCCTTGCTTCTCTTTGACCAAATTACTATAGATACAATGTCTAGACTTACGAAAAATAACATGTTGACCTTTAAGAATATAACCTCTAGTTTGGCGCATTGTCATTTTTGTTTTTTTATGAAACTCTTCAAGCCACACATGCACAAGTTTAGCCAAATTAATATTCACATAGAACAAACTGATTATTTGATTTATTATAATATTTTCATCAGTAATTAATAAATTGATTTTATAAAACTCATTAATTATATATAAATAATTTGTAGGTAAAATCTCTGCTAATGGCTCCATAAGATCAAATCTTAAAACAGGCTATAAAATTTGAAAAAATAAAAAAATTAACTGTTAAGCTTTTGCAAACTTTTAATTACATATTACTATAATATTACCTTTTCAATGTTTATATTAAAATTAAAATTGGTCTTCAAAGATGAAATAAAGCTTAATGGTTCTATCATTTCTTTATTACATATTTTATTTATATCTATATCTATTCACAAAAACATAAATTGATTTTATTTTTTTTTTTTCCTGTTTAAAGGCCAGGTACTATGGCTGATTTTTTATTATGAGTTAACGTAATATTTGTTATATGAGCAAGGATACAACTAGCCACACGTGCACTTTTGGTGCCTAATTTAAGTAGTCCGCCCAAAGGTTCTACACTAGCTGCCATACCTACAACCCAACTACGGAAGTTGCCTATTTAAACCCTCTGACTTATGATCCTCCTATTACTAACCCGATTCATTACATATTGCAGATATAACAGGCCCGACCCTTTTATTTCAACGGCCTAAGAGCTACTTTACTCTCGTACCAACTGCCTACCGAACAACTTTCCATATCCCAAGCATGTAGTTATTGCCGGATTTAGTAACTGAAGCTACCTGCCCTTATTAGGTTTGTTCCGATCATAGTACAGCCTTCTTTTTTGGCCTATACTTATATGGACCAATTTTTACTACCTTCTAACTTGGGACTTGCCAAACGGGTTCTTGTAGGTTTTTTCTGGTTTCCTGGATTTGTGACATAGTGCATTATTGTGCCTGCAAGCTTCTATTTAAGATGGTGGAACCAGGATTACAGATTTTATACCTAAATGATCAGAAGCCACAATTACTGAACACAGATTTAACTCCAAAACGTCACCAGTGGGATTCGAACTATCAATCTGCCGCTTGGGGGGTGATATCTTGACCACTTCTCTAGGGCACCACACTCTCATAAATTGATTTTATTGTAGTTGGATATTGTATTATTATTACAATTTCAACCAGAATGAACTTAATTAATACCTAAGATATAAAACTTTTCTGCAGTAGTGTATCATTTTAGCAATTATGAAAATCTTATTCAGTACAAAGTCTCAAAGTCAAACAGAGAAAAATAATTTTTTAAAAATAGTCTTTATATATTTACAATCATAACTACACTAATTTACTTATTTTAGTATCTTTAACTATTGATTTTTGAAACATGCATGAAGATTATATCATTAAAATCACACATTATAAGTGGAGATTAAAATACCAGTTTATTACTAGCTAGAAACATATTTTTGTAAAATTTAAGAGTTTATCATTAATTTCTATGTAATAAGTATGTACGTACATATATACATACATTCCTATAATTTTTATTTTAAGAAAATAATATACATTTGCACTTTTTAATCACTATTTTTCTATATAAACTAATTTAAAGAGCAGTTGATTTAAAATTTGATAAAAAATAATTTAATTCATAATATCATATTTATTAAATTATATATTATATAGAAAGTTATTAAACTATTATATTATATTACATGATTAGTGTTATATAATCTGCAATATGCATAACTGAGCACAGAATTTTTAAATGCGTGACGTTCAATTTTCAAGAATATTCAATCTGTTATCAGATGTAACCTGTAAATTGTATGTATCAGCTTTAGAACACACATATACTGCTCTTCGAATTATACCATTATCTGCTTCACTAGTTCGAATCTTGTAGCTAAACCCTTCTTGTTTTACAAATTGCTTAATCCAAATTTTAAAAAGTTGCCAATTTGAAAATAAGAAACTTTGAACCAATTCTAATGAGTGTTTACTTCCAAATTTATTTTTTTGCATATATATATTATCAGCATCACTTTGTATATTATCAGTATCACTTTGTATATTATCAGCGTCACTTTGTATATTATCAACGTCACTTTGTATATCCAGAAACAGATTGTTATTATCAACTGTATTAATTAAATGTATACTTAATGAGGATTTAAGAACAGAGTTTTGTGATTCTAAAATCTTATCTTGCTAACCAGAAAAATTAGATAAAAGGTTTGATGATTTCAATATTTTTTCCTTATAATTATTTCTATAATAAAATTCTAGAATCTTTTTATAACTAGACTGAAATGAAAAAGCTTGTAACTCTATAGTTTTGTTCTTTAAATAAGATTAGCTAGCAGACATTTGATCTAATGAGCAGCTTTGTGATTCTAGAATTTTATTCTCAAAATAAAGTTGGACTATCGACATATATGAATATAAAATATTGTCATTTTGTGATTCTGTAGTTTCAACAAAATAAGACCGATTCGCAGTAAAACTTTCATCGTTAAGTTCAACTAGTCTTGAAAAATAATCGTTAACTGAACTACTAGTATAAGGATCATTTTAATAACAAAAAAAAAGACCTTAAACCAATACAAAGTCATGCTTCACAGTGAATAGCTACAAACTTACTATTTTTGCAAGTATGAATAATATATTAGTATGCTATATTCAAATAAAAGTTCTCTTAAAATTGTAAAACACTATAAATAAAAGTAACAAATAAAGTAAAAAAAGATAAGCATAGCAGTGAAATAGTATTTACTAACTAAATCACGTATTAGCTTCGAAGCGAAAAGAGTTTAGTTAAATGATGTATTAGTATTTATTTAATATACAAATCATATTTTATAACAGACTAATATACATATATACGTGATTAATCATAATTATGTAATTATGTAATCAGTATATAATACATGCCTTATTTATACTGTATATATTTTATTTTATAATTATATAATCTGTATACAATACACACTGTGTACACTAAGAAATTTTCTATTATTATTATTATTATTATTATTATTAGTACTAAATCATATCACTAGTGCTCAACATCAGTATGCTGTATAATATGAAAATTATAATCAAAACAAATAAATAATAAATTAAAAAAAATAAAAGTTAATTAATATTAGGGTTAACACTCTTTCTGATGATCCTCTGGTCAACAACAATTAAAACTGAACTACAGAAAAACAATATAGAAACTTTCAAGACAGATACTATTCTTAGTCTGAACTTAAATAAACTGTTGTCAACAAAGCCTAGAAGACGTAAAACACCAAGAAGCAGACGTTAAATAGGTAGTTTTTCTTGGGGTTAAGCTTTTATTTCTATTTGGTAGACTCCCTGGGATATTTGGCATCCAAACCAGAAGGGCTATTCTGAGAACAAGTTTATTTAAAGTCAGTTGTTATCAACAAAGCCAAAAAATGTGAAATACCAAGGAGCAGATGTAAATAAGATAGTTTTCTTGAGGTCAAGCCTTCTGTTCTCGGTGGACTCCTCAAGATATTTGGTATCCAAACCAGAAGGTTTATTCTAGAAACAAGTTCTCTAAGATAGTAGAAGCCTGTAGAAATATATATACAACTGTAAAACTTACAGAAGAACCTCACATACTTTTGTTGGACCACCACTTTTTTTCGAGAAAATTTTTGTAAAAAGTGGGCATCTCAGCTTACCTTTCCAAAAGATCAATATCATATAAACCAAAATAGTTAGCATTGTTTACTTTCCAAATCAGATAGATAACAACAAACATGTGTAGTGATTTGTACGTATCTCGAATACAGAATATTTGTATAAGCAATGCTCTGAGACAGAATCCAACCTCTCTACAAGTTTAGTCGATAAAGTTTTCCCAAGAAGTTTTTTACTTTGATATACTAAGTAGATAAATTTAGAGTAGAGACTATTTTATTTAGTAGTATATAATTTTTACAA